GATGGTGGCGGCGAAGATGGTTCCCAGCCAGATGGCGGCGTGGTTGGTGTTCACCGTGACCTGCTGCGTGCTGGCCGGGGTGCCATCGCGGTCCTCGACGATCTCGTGGGCGACAACACCACACATAGCATGCAGGGCTGCGGCCACGAGAGGGGCTTTGGTGGGCCCGGGAATGACCGGGAGCTTACTGCCCGTGAAGTTGACGGTCTTCCAGAGCTTCTGATCCTGGGTGAACCCCGGCGTGCTCTTGGCGATATACTCGAAGATGCGACCGGCATCTTGGGGCGCGGGGAGGAAGTCCTTATCCACAAAGGTCCCCGGGCCGTAGATGTCTGTGCTGGGTATCGTTTGGTGGGCGTCAGTCATGGTGAAGTGTGGCGAGCGTGCTAAGTGTCAAGGAAAGGCAAGATGAAATCTCAGTGGGATCGGAGGCGTGCTGTCGATATCTTAAGGACAGGTATAGCAACTATTATACCTTACCTCGACAGGGGAGCCCCATTCAACCGTTAAGGGCCGTGGCCCGCGGGGCGCATTATCAAGAGATCCATGATTCTGTTCCGCGTTTCCAGAATAGGAAATTCAAAAGCCCGGAAGCCCGGAAGCCCGGAAGTCGGCAGCCCGACCTCACGATACGCAGTCAATAACACCCTAAATGGCAGGTTGCGCCCCAATGCACCGTTACGGACCGAAAGATCCCCGGACAAGGGCCGAAAGTGTGGGGACTCCCTGGGAAGATCGTCATCAGAGTCAAGCAGAGTCAGGTGCTTCGGTCCGAAAGTGCGGATTACCTGATTTAGCTTCGGAACAGCCTTGTTTCCGTCTCCCTCGACCGGACACTACCAAAGTATCACCAACGCCTGTGGATATTACCCTGTCTAACTGGTTTGTATAAGTAGCTGTTATGGCTTGTCCAAGCACAATGGGGCAGTCACAAACTCATACACCTGTAGCATGTCGACCTCCCCCATCAGAACCGTCGGTGTAATTGGCGCCGGCGTCATCGGCGCGAGCTGGACGGCCCTATTCCTCGCCAAAGGGCTGAAGGTGATCGCCACCGATCCTGCCCCAGGCGCTGAAGCCAAGCTGCGTGCCTACTTGCACGAGTATTGCTCTGCAGTCCCGAATCCCACCGTCGACGCCACTACATGCCTACAGAACTTCACGTTCGTGGCCGACATCGACCCGCACCTCGAGCGGCTAGACCTAATCCAAGAGGTGAGTTTAGTCGCCGATCATCGCCTTAAAGATAACCTTATCTTATCTGTGTGTATCAATCTGACACCGGTGATGACTGCCTAGAACGGGCCCGAACGACTCGACCTCAAGCGGCGGCTGTTCGCGCACCTCGACGCAAAGACCCCGGCCCACGTCCTCATCGCCTCCTCCTCCTCCGGCCTCCCGGCTAGTCAGTTCGTCACCGACTGCACGAACAACCCGTCCCGCATCCTGATCGGCCACCCCTTCAACCCGCCCCATCTCGTGCCGCTGGTCGAGATCGTGCCGCACCCCGGCACCGCGGAGGAATACGTGACGGCCGCGTACCGCTTCTACGAGAGTCTCGAGAAGGACCCCGTGGTCGTCCGCCAGGAGACCCCGGGGTTCATCGCCAATCGTCTGCAGGCGGCGGTGTGCGCGGAGGCGTACAGTCTCGTCTTGAGGGGGGTGGTCTCGCCTGAGGATCTGGGTAAGCAGCCTACCCACCCCCAGCCCAGCCTGACGTTCTTTTCTAGATAACAAGAACGAATAATGCTGACGGAGTAGATAAAACCATGACCTCCGGCCTCGGGCTCCGGTGGGCGCTCAACGGGCCGCTGATGACCAATACCCTCGGCGGGGGGGCGAGCTTTGCGCATTTCATCGATCATCTGGGTCCCGCGCTGAAGTCGTGGTTAGACGATATGGAGGCGCACGAGTTTGATTGGGGCTCGAAGGATACCATCGAGGGGTTGAAGGATACAGTTAATGCATGGGTATCGCAGGTCGATTTGAAGGCGGTCGCAGGGCGGCGGGATGTGCTGTTGGCTGATTTGGTCAGGAAGAAGCTTGATCGGGTGGAGGAGTCGTGATAGGATGCATATATTCTCCGAGGAGGGGATGAGGGTTCCACTGTGTAGATATGTACAGCACTTAGCATTAATATTTCCCACTGATTTAGCAACAATGGTCTATTGGACACATCTTAGGGTCTAAAATTCTCTTCCGCGCGAGTGCCTATCCAGTCAGTTTCGCCCAGGTCGTCAAAGTGAACAGCGTACCGGGAGAAGAGAGGTAGTGCTGTTCACTCGCACATCCCAGCGTGTCCGGTGCGCTCCTTACATCCATAGACCTCTTTTGCTTGTACCTAGCAAATTTGTGTCTTTCTTATTGTGGAATACAATTTCTGCCCAGGCTATCGTATCAGTGTCGCGACACTGCCCGAAGTATCGTAGGCTTAATATACGCAGACCAGACATAGGGCCCTGTATCGCACAGTTCATGCCCGCGGAAGGAGAGACTCGGAAGCATCTAGCAAAAATCTCTTGTTGAGCATGATCGCCGTCGTCGCATGAATGTATAGTACAGTAGTCCATCGCACCGCCCGCGCGGGGTCCCACGATCTAGTCCTCCGTCTTTGCGTTGAGATCAGACATCCTGAGGTAAGGACACCTGCTTTCATCAACCGCGAAGAAAGGCCCTTGCAATACCCGCTGCACTCAAGCCATAGGCACCGAAGGGATGCCCATCTGTCCGAGGTCGGCCTGTGCGATGGAAGACCAAGTTTCCAGGCGAGGCTAAGATAGCACACAGCTCAGCGCGGCAGCGACGGATTTTCATTGACCTGCCCGAATCTCCAATCTATGGTAATTTGTAGGTATCACCCGAAAGGGAAAATGGGGTGATGAGCTGGGGAATCAAGGGCATGGGCCGGAGGCAGGCTAGTTGGGGGTCTTCCCCACACGGATCCCCGAGTCCCCGGCCTCTAGCCTTCTTCTGATCGCGGCTCGTTGATCAGCGAGAGGAACATATGATTTGACCATCGTGCACGATCGGGGAAGCTGAGGCGGGTCTTGTGTTGGAGTTTGTCGGGTTCTTAGGGCTGGGTGGATACGCTTCTACTGTGCTGCCTCAAGATGCAGTTACTCCCCTAACCAATTCAGTCTGAATCCCCGATACAGGGTTGAAGACCGACTCCTCTTGAGCGTGTTTCTCTCGTGCCTTTCTGTCCGTCGTGAAGTCCTAAGGTCAGTAATCGGGAGAGTAAGCAGCAGATACTATATCCGCGGAGATACAAGCCGCCCGTGGGACGCCTGAGGCCCGCCCCGCGCCCTGTCGACCCCATGTGGAGGGGACTATCTTATCTGGAGGATGCGTCTCGATAGTAGTGTCTCAGGGCCTGACAATCCGGTGGTATGGTGGGGGGTCAGCCAAAGCTTCGAGAACTAGTCCAGGCTGGATCGATGCCTTTGCAGGACGCAACCGATGGACGATGATAGGTCAAAGAGCCAGTGGAGAAAGCATAAATTAAAGTACCTCTCGTCAGCCATGCACCCATCGCCGCCACGTGTTGGCTGACGTGATCTGAGGGCTGACTGGCTCATCGGGAGTACTTCTTCCAGGGGTTCATCGTTCGTATCTGCGCGGCAAGGTGTCTCCGTTCGTATCAGATTCTATTGTCAATGCTATTCTCATGTGCTATGGTACATAAGAAGATCGCTCTACGGCTGATGCTACTGTACAGTACAATCAATCTCGTATCCACCAGCCAGGATAAGATAACCCGCAACGGACAACGGACCCGGACGTGGTGTGCTGCTAAGCGAAGATAACGTTAACCTTGCCAATTTGCGCCAAGACGCCGATATCAGCCTTGCGCCAGCACTGCCACACATCCCACTCCCCGGTCCAGCCTGTCAGCAGCCTTCCAGGCGTGGGGCGCCCATTCTTCACCTCTCGCCTTTAGCCGAATCGAGTTGGGGCGGAAACTATCTCCTGACAACCCCGCCGGCGCTAGGCCAGTTCGGAGGAACGGTTGGAGAGAGTCCCAGACTCCCAGGGTCTGATCGATCACCGACGCGGCAGAGCGTTGAGATTTAGAAACCCCCTCTTTCTGTTTTGAGAACGGGACGAAAATCTCGCTTAACCCTCAGCCTCACGCTGCACACCGCATTGGACCCGTCCAATAGACCGGGTGCCCTCAGTGGGGCCATGTTTCTGGACGGTTCGGCAGGGCCAAAAAAAGGATCAAGGACCACAACGGGCTGCAAAAATAAAGCCCTCCGTTGGGCAGACGGATTGCAAGTGGGGTGGGGTGCCGACGAGCTGAAGAAAATTAGACTTGGTCCATGAGACCCCTAATTAGACCGCTTTCTCATCATCGAGTTGCAGGGCTGCCCGTCGCAGGCTTCGAAGCCAGTCGAAGTGCGAAGACAGGTCATCGAGGAAGGTGTAGTCCCCGTCAATGTTGAGGATTCGTGCTGTGGATGCCTGCCGGAAGTAAAACCAGGTCCGGATTTGAGAATCGCTCGACGCGGCAGCGCCAGTGATGCAGGCCCACGTGTGAGGCACGGGAAAATGCCGCAGCCAGACCTCCTCGTCCGTCAGGGCTAGCGCGTCTCGCAGGTTCCTCGCCAATGCGTCGAGGTACTCAACAAAACTGCACCCGTTGGCCCCGCCATCGGCGATCGTCTGGAAAATCTTGCAAGCGAGATAACAGCACTGGTAGATAGGGTCCTCAGTGGTGGGAGGAGGCATTGTGCGGGTCGCTGGCGTAACTTGGCGCCAGTGATCCGTTGGAAGGGAAGTCATTAGATGAAGCTTTGTCTGGTGAACATGTTGGAAGAGGGCCTTGATCGAGCAAGTGGAGTTGTCGGGTCCAGGTGGCCTTGTAGGCATGTTGAGGATCCGTTCTTCGAGGCTGAGTGGAGGCATGAGCTGAAACTGAGGTCCGGTGCTCAACCCCAAATCAAAGACGATATTCGACACGATTCGGTTCCTGTGATTCAGAGAGTCAGTCATCCGCTCTAAGGAAAGGAGGGAACGCCCCGAGAAGACCAAACGAACATGTGGATGAGTGATGAAATTAGACCGTCCAAGCCCAGGTTGTGCATCCCGCCCCGTAGCAAAACCATGTTTTCCAGGCCAGCTCGATGTACTTCAGCTGAAGCTCGATCACCACCAAGATTCTAGACCTGTCGTCAGCCGTACTTTATCTTCCGGTGTAGAGGGAAGGAGAATGATTGCATACAGCAAATAGTGCCAGTGGGGTGATGGAAGCGATCGTGCGATCGTCCAACGCGGTCGCTGGGTCGGCAAGTCGCTTTTTGACCAGCTTGATCAGCTCATTATAGTGGTAAAGGGTGATCATGCTTTGCTTCTGTCCCCGACAGATATCAAAGTGTGAAGACCCGGCGAACAGCGTGGCATGAAACAGGCAGGGATCTTCCATAGCGCTTCTCAGCCAAACGGTCTGCAGCTTGTAAGCACTACATTTGGCGGTGACGGGGATCTGGGCAACACCAAGTCCGTTATGAACTAAATCCCGTGGCTGGTCAGCGCAAGTGAAGACAGGACCGGGGATACATTCTCACAGTGTTTGATCAACTTTGGCATGTACCAGCGGTAGGCGATGGGATACGATTCCGGGACGGTCGGAGACTGTATGGCCCAGGACAAAGACAGTTGGTCCGACACGGCTTCCCACGAATCCGGGCTAATATCTCTTGGATTCTCCTTGCAGTATTCAACCGCGACAGGGGCATTGAGCTTTTGTTTCTCGTGGATCGGGTCAGTAACCCGATAGATGGCGTAAAAACACTTGCGGCCAGTCCTGAAGAATCTCGGTTAAGATGCGCGGCTGAAGATAAGCGGGGGGGGGGGGGGGGCGTAACTTACTTGTGACACAGGGCGCATGATGGGTATGCTCGGTCGCATTTCCTCTTTCGCTGGCGACAGGACTCACAAGCAACAAGCATAACCTTCATTGTGATTGCAATAGTTGAAATGAAGATCGGAAGGGCAGAGAGGGAAGGGTAAGTGTGTACTAGGTAGATGTGAATAGTAGATTGGTGATTTACCGGAGCAGTAGATCTGAGGTAGTCTGAGCGGGGTCTAGCCGTTTTAGTCCCTGATCTTCCTGGCTCTTCCTGGCTCTCCTCAGCCAACCTCTTTCCTTTCCTCAGGCAGCAATTTTCTATGCCGAAGTCTATACATGAGCATACATCAGCATACATCAGCATACATCAGCATACATCAGTCCACTCCTGCACCTGCCAGATTGCTTACCTCTGCATCTTCTCTATCGTCATTTCTTATGTGCCCCCTTGCAAAATTATGACCCAACTTGATAAATTTTCTCTGATAAAGTTGGGAGCGCTGCTTCTCGACCATAATCGTGCACAGAGAAAGTGACTGTGGTTCATCAGACCACTCCTGATCAAGAATAGAAGCCATGTTTGTATTGCAAGAATTGTCTGTATTATCACTGTCACTACTCAGTTCAATGGTTCCATGCTTGGAATAGTCTGCCATGTCAAATGCTTACCACCTAGCAAGCCCTCAGATCTGGCCTAAGGCTGCCAATTTCGTACAGCGCCGGACCATCACCAACACGTTGTGCCGGCCCAGTTCATTTCAAGCATTGTACGGTCAGATTGCGTATGAGGTAAGAATTGTGGGATGACCTTTGATTGTTCGAAACCGCTGCTATGCGCTGTAGTCATAGCCGACAGTCCTTCGTCAAAGAGAGCTGTCTGGAGGTGCATGCTAGATGGTGATGCGTGCAGCGGAACTGTCAAGACTCGGATAGAAAGAACCGCTGACAGATATCTCCCCATCCCTTGGTTTGGTCTGTAAGCTGACAACTGGTTTCTTGGAATGGTCGTTGAGGGAATTTGAGGCAGTTTTGATGGTCGGGATGGCGACTAAGCATTGTCCAGAGTGAGACATGCCCTCTCCCGTCCAGCCTGCTCAGGTGGCAGTTCCCAGGTCAAATTGCCTCAGGGGGACCGGGCAAAAGTTTGGCTTGAAGGATTCGACCCGTCGATCGATGATATATGTGCACGCTGACTGTTAACCTCGCTTGGCCTGCGCCAGGCACCAGTCTGCATGCCTTATCTGATATCTTGCTCTCACTTGCAGCCCGTAGGGATATGTTAAGCGAGTCAGGGCTTCCTTCGTGGAGACACTGATCCACACCGGTAGAGGCTGCCCTAGGGACATGCCACTGAGGCGACACTGACTCGTCTGAATGCTTGTTTTCCCTCGATCGAGTTCTCAAGCTGTCTAGAGGCTTGAAGGTAGTCCCGAAGAAAACGGATTAGTGGAGCACTAGCGTGCGGACTAGCCCGCCCTTAACGGCGATCGTGTACATCCCCGGAAGATCATCACTCGAGCCTCTCGACTGGGGAAATGAAGCTTTAGATGCGGTGTAGCACGATCGACGTCTATACATGAACCGGGGTGTACATATAAAGGCGAAGATGTGTTGACAGGGATTCCCTATCTCCTACAACGCCATTCCCACTCTTTCAGTCAACCACAAACCAGCCGGTAAGCTATCACAATAGATGCAGTGACTTACCAATTCCAACCCTCTAGATTTCTCATCGTCTCTGAAACCATGCGTCTTCACTCTGTCCTGTTTTGTCTTACCTTTTCCACGGCTGCCGTTGCCAAAGGGTGCTCCTACGACGGCTTCCAAGAATGCGTGACCTATTACGCTGATTCCGACTGCCATCACAGTATTGGCAACTACATTCCGACCTGTGAGGGAAACTGCTTCCAGTTCAGCTCTTTCCAGGGACTGGTGGTGGAAGGCAACTTCATTCATGGCACCGACTGCATCGTGTACTCAGACCCGTACTGTCAAAATGAGATCGGTGTCACTCCGAATGCGATCAACCAGAACATCGATTGCCTTTCGTACGGCGAAGCACAGTCGATGAAATGTTACTTCGACTGCTGAGTGGGGGAGATATCGGATAAGCGGGAATCACGCCAATGTTAGCTGAGGGTTGTTGCGAAGGTCAGATACCATTGCTGCGGGGAGATAATGCGTGTTCATGATGAATTTACCCGCGCTTGCAGTAGAGGGCATGGAAATGTACATATGGGCCAATTACGTGACAAGCATCAGATATATTCCATCAGTAGTACAGCGTCAATCATACATAATACATTAGTCATACCACGCTCGAAAACAAGCCCCTACTCATCCGGACCGCCCATCTGGTTCAGCTTTTGCCCGGCGGCCTCCTTGCCCTGCTGCGACACACCGGGGTTGTTCTGCGCACTGTGGGAGGATGTCAGTTTATCTTATCAAGACAGGATTGTGAGGAAGGATGCTTACGCTTTGAGTCCACCCGCGACGCGGTTGGGATCCTTCTGGTTGTCACCACGGAGGTTGTGCAACTCGTCCGAGGGCTGAGAGCCGCCAAGCTGGTCGAGCATGGACTGAGCGTTCTGCTTGGCCTCATCGGAGACTCTGGGGTTGTTGAGGGTGCTGCGTAATCATCAGAGACGGCTCTTCTCTTGATTGTGAATGAAGATGACTCACGCCTTGTAGCCACGCATGGCATTGACTCTGTCTTCAGCGGAGGACATTTTGAGAAATTGTTGTAGAGAATGGAGTGTACGGTGGGCGAGATGTGATAACTTGGTTGAATTCAAGATGAACAGTTGCCTCGACACCAACCATGGTATACTTATACCTTCGAATGCAGCCAGCTGCATTTGATGTCAGAGCGCGTCACCCACCCCGCGTCGTCATTCTTTCATCGTCCACCCAGTCTTTGGGGAAGTCGAGGTCAAATTGACTTCATTGCGGAGACATGACGAGGAGGGTAGGTAATCTATGCTGGGTGAAATCTTGGGTCGACCCCTGTGCATGGGGAGTTTGCATTGGTCGATTCGTCCATCGCCCGATCGAAGCGATCGAAGCGTTGATCAGGGTTGGAGGGTGGGGGACTGGGGATTCTAGAACTCTGGATCGCCGGGAGGTGCTTGTTTCGGGATGGGGGGGGGGGGCTCTACTAGCCGTGGACTGGGCGAGGTCAACCTGCGATCATCACGCAATGTTGTATCTACTGTAGAACCGAAATGGCAGACTCAACAACCATTTCTGTGTCGATCTCAATTCATAGACTAGTAAAGTTCTGTGTGCTGAGCAAACCCTTGGCTCCCTTACAAAAGGCCGACGTCATGTCGATGTGTCTGTGTTGGGACGGCCAGGCCCTTTTCTGCCACCGCCCAGATTGAACAGGTTTCGCCAGCCGATTTTTCTGGCCTGTTACCTCTTATATCCGCTTAAATCCGCGGTTTTCGTTGCGAGGTCGCGAGCGTTCTGCCGGTCCAGGCGGTCTGAGTGGCGGTCGGAGGTTCAACGGAAGGTCTGGCAGATACTCACCGCTTTGTGCATCCTCCGCCTCCCAGCGCAGCGCAGCGCCAAGCACCGCTGCATTTGTTGTCATTGCATCGTCTTTTCTTGGGGGCGGGGCTCTTGCCTCTGGAGCTTGGTCCGGAGTATAAAGTCTTTGTCCGAGTAAGGCACCTCTCTCACCATCCAACAGACCTCAATGGTTGACTGCGATAAAACGCAACTTTGGCACTACCCCGGAGACACCAATTCTAGCTCCCGTCGCAGGATCGACCCTCACGCGTCTTACCCCTTGGTCCCTGCAGTGACAACCTCCACTTCGGACATTCCTCGCGCTATGCTAAGCTACAAAGCTAGCCCCGTGATTCCCTGCACGATTCCAACTCACTCGTCAAGTAAATCTCATCTATCTCCTCCTCTATCCAGCCGCGTAGCGACTAATTGCATCTGGATTCAATAGCACTCCCACAGTTTATCATTAGCGGTCAATCCTCTTAAAATAACATCCAGTCAAACATATTGAAGGGTACAGTACTATCGGCAGCAAGAGGCCAAGTCTAGCCCTGTACCTTGCCTTAGACACCCTTCCCCTTCCCCATCCAGGCACCGCGCCCCACAAGCGGCATGATATCGAATTCCAGAGGCACCAAACCCACCCCCTCTGCTCCCCATACCAGACAACATGAACATAAATATCGATAGATTCCGTCGGCCCATGCGCCGGGGCGCTGCTCACTCGGTGCCTGGACCTTTTGACTAAAGTCCGCGTACACTTTTCTTTACCTATTCCTACCTACTCCGTGAGTATACCCTTACCCCTGCCAATTACATCCACACTAAGGATATACAACCTCACACAATGACTGACACTGATCGCAGAGCCAAATTCTCCTACCTTCTCCAGTACTCCCCCTCACAATGCGCCTCCTTCACCAAGCCCTAACGGTGTTCCTCGCCGCCCTCCTCCTCGACACCGCCGCCGCCGCCGACTGTCGCCCTGGCGCCACCCGCCCCGACCGCTTCGACTGCCACGCCTACCACCGATGTGACGCGGGAGAGTTTGTACGGCTGCACTGCGCCCCGGGCCAGGCCTACAGCGTGTACACCGGCACCTGCGAGCCGGAGTGGCGGTCGCCGGGGTGTCATCAGGGGGTGACCCAGGAGATTCACTGAGTGTGACTTGTCTTTATGTTCAGGGGATAGTATGATGTACGAGTGGAGTTCCACGCCCTTCGAACTGTGATGGTCCCCATTCTTTCTTTAAACTTCAATGTGTGGTCACACGTGCGCGCTTCTCAATGGAAATAATCTACGGCCATGGCGACGAGCCCCATTAAACTGCAAAACAAATGTATTGGTATCATGTCCTCTCTATACGACTACTAAAATGAATCTCTATCCTCCCTACCCGCCGAATTTACAAATGGTACTGAGACGGGGCACTCTCCTGGAACCCCAGACGATTCCACCACCGGTCCACGCCCATATCTTCCTTCGAACTGCACACTGTGTTAGCTGGGCCCTTATGCACACGCAGACATAAACTTACTCCCAGGACTCCTTGATCTCGGGCTCCGTCTTGCCCTCCGCGAGGTTCGGGTTACGGAACACGATATTGTATTTCTAAAGCCCGTATGTTAGCATCTACACTTCCCAACAAAAAGGAAGGAAGGGATGGGTAAACTCACCAAGCCAAGCGTGATGTGGATCGCCATCGGGAACGGCGGATACACCTCCTCGGGCGTCTTCCCCTCGATCATCGCCTGGATGTTGTGCGCCACCGCGGCGGCCTGGGGACCGCCGGGGCGGGCGGCCTTGCGCAGCCCCGTGTCGGCGATGTCGCCCACCGCGAACAGGTTCGGGTACTGCGGGTCCTGGAACTGCAGGGTCGGGCGGATGCGGATGAAGCCGTTGGCCGGGTTGATGAGGGAGTCCGGCGACGAGGCGGGCAGGGAGCGGAGCAGGTCGTTGTTGGGCCTCTGGCCGGTGGCCAGGATGACGAAGTCGGTGGGGAGTTCGGTGCCGTTGTTGAGCTGGACGGTGAACGGGGTGCCATTGTTCGGGAAGCCGGATTCGGGGACCACGATGCGGGCGCCGGTGATGGTTCTGCGGAGGGTTAGGGGAGGCGAGGCGAATAGAGCAAGGTTAGAAGGGGCTACACACTTGATACCTAGCTCGTCGAAGCGCTTCTTGACGATCTCGTGCAGCCCCCGGTGGAATTGGGGCATGAGCTGGTCACGCGACTGCACCACCGTGATCTCCTTCTCTGGGTACAGCTCCTTCATGTCGGTCGCCATCTGCACGCCCACGGCGCCACCGCCAACAATGACCACGGATCTCGCTTGCTTTACGTCCGCTTGGTGCTTCTGCAGGTATTGCACGGAGGACACCTTGTCTTCGTCACGCATCGCGGCGGGTTCGGCGAGGCGCGTGCCCGTCGCGACGACGAGATACTCGTAGGGGATCTGGCTCTGGCCCTGCCAGGCGCGATCCAGATTGACATATTTGGGTTGGACGGAGAGGACGCGAGCCTGCACGACGGCGTGTTGGGTCGAGTTGGGGGAGGAGGCGAAGAGGCGGGTGTAAGGAATGAATGCTTTGTGTTCGTGGCCAGGGAGAACGGCGAATCGGGGCTGCTGCGGGTTAGTCTAGTGTTGTGGGGGCGCAAATAAATTGATTGACTCACAAAGGCAAAAAGATGGTGGAAATGGCTGTGAGGTTCGATCAACAGCACCTGTAGCGGAGTTAGTATATCGACAAAACGCCGCGGCGGGGCTGGGACTTACTCTGTGCGTGCTGGGTACTACCCGCGCCAGCTCCTCTGCAGCTCCCTGTTACAGTCAGTATTCACTGCAGTTGATGTTGAAAACGCCGCGGAGAAATACCCTTCCAACGTAGGACCCGCCAACTACAATAACGTTCTTTAGTGTCGAGGCGGCCATGGTGGCTTGTTGTGTATTCCAATTGTTCGAGATTTTGAGGACCAGGGAAGACAGAATCAGCGATATGGTCAGAGTTGAGAGTAGAGTCGCGATCCAAGACCTTCTTGAATTATCAAGCAGGAAGAGCATGAGCAAAAAGCGAGTGCGCCGTGGGCAGGCTCCAAATATATAGGCGGGAGAAGACTGAGCCGGGAGGGCACGCGGGGAGCATCTCCTTATCTGATCGTCCGGGCTCGGTCTATTGGTCGCCTGCCTATCCTGGCCATCTCCGAGACTGTGGCCCGCCATCGGCTTCCATCCGCTGCCGGTGGCGTCATCTGCCTGGTTTGCGCCGAGGCTCGGGGTTAGGATTTAGTTAGATAGTTAGACTCTAAGGGCATGTCTAGATGAGCGACGGCGTTGAATGAAGGGTGTAAGCCATATTCTAGACTGCTATTTGCTCCATACGCCCTCTTAGTTCAACAATTTGTGGTTTGCAGTCATGGGAAGGAAGACAGATGCCAAGTTATAACAGCCTTGGGGCCTAAGGCAAAAGCAGCAGCCAAGCCAACGACGGCAGTTAGTCTCGGCTTTAGCCCTCGGATTTTCGGCTTTCCGGCTCGGAGTGGGGGATGCCAGAGGCGAATGCTTCGGACCCCCATCAAAGCACTTTGTTTGAGTCCGAGATCTCGAATCGAGGGCTCGATCACCATTCGCACCATGGGTAGGACCTTGCACCACAAGGACAGCTCATCAGTGGAAGTGACTATCGTGGAGAACTAGGTGGCTTTGATCACGGATCTGATAGCCAGATCCGACGTTAGCCGCACCGGATGGATAACTACTCCACTTGTTGTGCCGACATCCTGTAAATCAGAGGATCCGTCATCGGGAATGTGGGGGACTGATATCTTGAGTACCTCGTGGGCATTTATTCCTCGCAACTTGCCTTTCCGCGACACTACATTCTGAATGCTGAATGTTGGAGAGTAGTTTGGGTGTCTCACATCCGTACCACATTGTATGCGCCCACGACTTCCCCAGAGACTATGCAGTGGCCACTACCACTTAGGCCCCTGATTTCCAGGCCCCGGCGGCTTCTCTGTTGAATGGCTAGCTCCCAAGCAAGCCGGGTGCAAGACAACGTTCGCACTTTTAGCGAGGATCTTCCATTTGAACCTATCTTGACCCCAGTCCCGACAGGCAAACAATGAATGGACGGGTGAGCGCTCAACCCAAGATCCGATATGGACCAACGATGAGTGCGATTGAGCATTGTTCCGGAGCGACGTCGCTTGTGACGATGGATAGGGCAGGTCTGGTGAGAGATTCTAGAAATGATCACGTCCCCGAACTGTCCTGAAGGCCCCTTCCTTGCTGTTTTCGCCGGAGTCAAGATTGTCCGCTCGGGCTAAGACTGAAGAGGGTACCAGGGTACACCACCTACGAGTACGGTAACTTATTATCCGCAGTTTCCTGAACACTTGGCATACACCCTTGACTTCCGACTTGATCAACAGAACCCCAAGTCCAGGAAAGATCCGCGGAGAGCCAGCCACAGCCACATTCGAAACGGGGAAATGCCACCATGCATTTTCGATTGTCGAAAAGGGTTAAAGGACATTGTGATCTCTCTCGCCTTGGCACTTCAAATAGGAAATCATACTAAGACAAAAAAAAAAGAAAAAAAAAAAAAAAAGAGCAAGGAAGCAGGTGCCGAGGATCAAAGCAAATGGGTTCGGGAAGGCTCGATGCAGGCTGCCTCTAAGCAGGAAGCACCTATAAGATGAGCATGTTGCCATCCCTGAATGACTCTGTACAATCACTGTTGGTTCCTCAGTGGTTGTCCAGACTACTCAACATGCTCATCGTGAGCCACCTTCTCCGCCTGATAGCCCTTTTGTGGGCTGTCACCCCCTTCACAGGGGCTACCAACCTGCCTCGTGGGTATAACAAGCCGCTGGCGCCAAAAAGCGATCCGTTCTATACTCCTGACGATGACAGCTGGCGAGCGCAACCTCCGGGTTCCATCCTCAAATCCCGCCAAGTGACGATTGGCTCGGCTCTCTTGATCCCCAAAGGCCTTGCCGCAGGGTATCAATTGCTCTACCGGACCACCAATGCCCACGGTCTGCCCAACTACGCAGTGACGACGATCCTGATCCCGTTCGGGGCCAAGCTGGATCGTTTCATCTCCCTCCAGACCGGGTACGACTCGGCCAACAATGACTGCGGCCCTTCGTACGGGCTGCAATTTGGCGCCTCCACGAATGCCAGCGAAGCCCTCATCGAGCTGGCGGTCGGGATGCTACCATACCTGGAGATGGGGATTCCGCTGGTGGTTCCGGACTATTTGCAAGTGGATGCGGCGTTCGCCGTCGGCCCCACGACAGCATACGGGGTGCTAGACTCCATGCGCGCCGTGCTCCGCTCGACACACATCACCGGACTGGCGGACAATGCAACGATCACCATGCAGGGATACTCGCAAGGTGGCTTGGCTGCGGAATGGGCAGGCGAATATCGCAGTACCTATGCGCCGGAAGTCCACATCGCCGGGGCCGCGATTGGGGGTATGCCGGTCAACATCTCCGAGGTCTTCATCGGTGTGGAAAAAACCCTCAGCTCGGGATTAGCCGCCGGGACTCTGGTCGGGATCGGGAATGCCTACCCTGAGTTCAGAGCGTACGTGGACGAGCATCTCATCCCCAAGTATCGACCGCTCCTTGAAATCGCACGGAAGGAATGCGTGGCCGACTTCTATAAGATCGCCTATGGTTACACTGTCCAGCTTGCATTCAGAAATATCACGGACTGGTTTGACACCGGACGAGGCTTCATTACAGACAACCTGGACTTGTTTAACGAAATCGGGGTGCTCGCACTGCACGGGATGCCGGACTTTCCAATGTTTGTCTGGAAGGGGACGGACGATGAAGTCGCGGTGGGCATTGAGGAGCATGATGCCCTGGTGCAGGCGTGGTGTGATGCGGGAATTCCCATCCAATACCTGCGAGTGCACAAGACTCTTCACACGCCCAGCATTCCGCCGGGTCTGCCGGGGGCGCGGGCTTTCATGATGGATGTTTTTGAGGGAAATTCTCCGACGGAATGCACGACTGAGGACAAATTTGGCACCGGCGATGAGTAAATAAACTATCTTTAGGGAGGAAAGAACGCCATCGATAGTCGAGAACCCCACAACGGCATCAGTCCTAAATAGTATTATTAGCAGCTATGTTAGCAGACTGGATATGCACTACTAGGCCCCTCATCTTATCCACTTGCTCGCAGCCGTTCCTTGTTTCCATGCAACCGGTGCAATCGAACCAGGCCGTAGGGATGCTGTCGGAAATTACGATGTTGGACGAACAGCCAGGTGATAACATGGTTTCGCGTCGTACGTACCACGCTTCCAGACCCAATTTGGAAGTCTGTCCAGCTCCTGTAGTACCATGGCCCCAAAACCCACTGGAATACAGGTTAGAGTGTCACTGCACGCTTCAGCACGAGCCACATGCATCGATACATTGATCATCCGGCAATGGATCTTGAGGCCAGACTGTTGGGGATTGCCCCTAACCTCGAAGAGGAAACAGTTTGTTGTCGATCAGCTTCCAAATTGCATTAGATTTCAGCGTGGAGCCAATGAATTCAATCTCAAGGTCGCACCTGAAAGACGAGTCCCTGAGCGCAGTCTTCCATTACTCAAGCCGAGGCGCGAGAGAAGGCAGGGCAGGCCACAGCAGCCGCGCAAGAACCACGCTGCAGTACCACTCGCCACGCCCGCTGTAGAACAGCCCGCCTTCTCTTCTTGCCCAATGCCACACCCAGTCACGGGGAAACCAAGTGGCCACCTTATGTCCATGAGATTCCAGTTGCAAGGTTGCACCCAAATGAGGTCCCAGCGCTCTTCACGCATGCCGCACTGGTCGGGTTTCGAGTGCTATAATAGAGCCTCTTCCTTCAACTCTCCTCAACGACAGTCAAACGACCGCCCGCGTTAGCATCTATGCACCATGTCTTCAACAGCTGCGCCCAAATCAATCGTCCACGGATCCTCACACCCCCCTCTGAAGCTCTGCACAATTGGCCAGCTTCTCCGCCAACAGGCCGACCGAGTCAACTCCCGCCGAGCGGTCGTTGAGGTCCAGTCCGGGGCACGATTGACCTACCACGATCTCGAGATCAGGGCCAAGCAGATCGCGCGAGCCCTAATAGCCAGCGGGGTTCAACGCGGCGATCGGATTGCTATCTTCCTTGGAAACTGCGAAGTCTACGTGGAGATCTTCTTTGCGGTTGCCAGGATCGGGGCGGTGGCAGTCTTGCTTCACGGGACGTATACCCCAAATGAAGCGCGGAATGTGGTGCGGACCACCGGTGCGTATAACGACAAGTGTCATTCCAGGAAGGATATACTGAAGGCTTGTCGCAGAATGCTCTACCCTGTTCATCTCGAGTGGTCTGGGAAATAGAGGCTCGCGTGCCTTTCTGAGCTACCTTGAAGAATCCAACATGTCACTGGCTGTCGATGTGCCATCGGTGAAGCGCATTGTCTTGGTTCATGACGATCACCCAGATGGCAGTTACTTGACTTCCTGGACAACATTTCTTGTCAGTGGGGATACAGTGAGCCCGCCGCGACTCAGTCAGCTCGAGGATGAGGTTGGCGGTGACACAGTATGCAGCTTTCTCTTGACGAGCGGGACCACCGGCGTCCCCAAGGTGGCTATGTTGACACATGCGTGAGTAAAACATTTTTTTTTCGAAGCCTGGAACCGAACCTGAATGCTCACTTGCGAGCATAATTGTAAATGACTTGATTAGGAACATCATCAACAATGCCTTTCTGGCAGGGAATCACATGGCCCTGACCGAGGAAAGTATCATCTGCAACCCACTGCCCCTGTCTCATTCCGGGGGCCTGATACTCGGCCTCATGACATGCGTCGTCCATGGAGCCTGCATCGTATTCCCCGCGCCAAGTTTCAGTGCATCTCGCACCCTCGATTGCCTCTCAGCAGAAAAGTGCACTGGAATGCATGGCGTCCCGACCATGTTCGCTGCGGTCCTTCGCCACAGGCACCCGCAGCCCATGAAATGCCCAATCCGGCTCAAAACTGGTCTCATAGGAGGTAGTGCTCCTTCAGAGGCACTGTGGCTTCAGATCAAGGATGAACTTGGTGTCGAGGACTTTTCACTCGGATACGGTATGGCCATGTCCGGTGGCGATGTCATCAATTTCTCATTATGATTCATGCAGGAATGACCGAGACATCGGGTGCTGTCTTCATGTCCAAACCAGAAGACGCGGATGCGACCCGAATGCCACGCTCCCTGACGATTTTGCCTCACACGAGCGCCAAGGTGGTTGACAGCAGGGGCGAGATCGTGACGGTCGGACAACGCGGCGAGCTCTGTGTCTCGGGCTACCTTGTACAGAAGGGATATTTCAACAATGGCAAGAAGACGCGTGCGGCCATAGTGCAGGACGAGAACGGGACACTGTGGATGCGGACGGGCGACGAAGCATTTTCCGACCGCGAGGGAAGCTGCTCTGTGACCGGTCGCATCAAAGACATTATCATCCGAGGTAGACGCCCCGCCCCCATCGCTGCTCCTGGTGTCGGGTAATGCTAACCGGGTGACAGGAGGAGAGAACCTATATCCAACGGAGATTGAGGATCGGCTGAGCGAGCATCCCTCCGTGCAGGGGGCGTGTGTGGTTGGCCTGCCGGACGACTACCTGGGCCAGGTGGTTGCGGCTTTCATTCAGCAGGAACCAGGAACTGAACGGCCATCCCTTGAGGAGCTGGCTGCATGGGTCCGCTTGAATCTGAGTTACCAGAAGGCTCCAACCCGGGTCTTCTGGCTTGGAGATGATGGCGGAGTACGTGGCGTGTCATGTCATTGTTCTAGGAGATAGTGAATGCCTGTCTTCTTTTTTTCCGTCTTTGGTCACTGTTCTCGCCCCGAGCCCGTTCCGCCGGCCAGGCCGAGAGAGAGAAAAACGCGAATTATGAAGGAGCTGAGGGGAGTACCCCAAGCCCGTAAAGGCATATATCATTGCATATCAAGCGAATCAAACGGGAAAGGTACATCACTTCGATCTCCGGGGCTCCAATGCCTTCCCAACCATCGAGTACCAAAGCTCAAGTTGCCCCGGGGCGGGGGGGCTTATGCATGCTTTTTGTGCAGGAAAAGACTTTGGACATTGCAGACGAGCCCCCACTCGACGCTCAGACCACTCTCTTTGTGGCCGCTAAATGGGATCGCGGGGGACAGAGCAAAATGATTATTTGTCCACACCGTTCCGGCCTCGAGTTGGCGCGCAACACGGGCGGCGCGGGTCAAATCCTCCGTCCAGACGGAGGCGCCCAACCCCAGCAGGCTGTTGTTGGCCCGCTCGATGACCTCGGATTCCTCCTCCCACGAGAGAAGGGGCACAATCGGACCTATCCACCACACCAGTCATTCAGTGCGTGCCATCCAGGTGGGGGGGGGGGGGGGGGGGGAATTGATGAATTTACCAAAGGGCTCGTCCACCACAATGCGGGACGAATCGGGCGGCCGGTCGATGATGGTGGGGGGAAGGAAATATCCACCGGTCGAAGGTTGGTCAATGGCACCGCCCACACAGACCTGCCAGCCCTCGGTCTTGATCTCGTCAAAGAACGTCTTGACGCGGGAATACTGCATCTCGTTCTGGAGGGGACCGTGGGTGATTCCCGGCTGGGAGCCGTCTCCCAGCGAGAATGCGTTCACGGCGCGGACGAGGGCGGCCTTGAATTCTTCGAAGATTGACTTGTGGACGTAGATGCGCTTGATGTTCAGGCAGATTTGGCCCGAGTTGAGAAAGGCGAAAAAGGCAATCTGGGGAAGGTTACTCGGTCAGGTCACCGGGTTCCGCTGAAATGCCCGTCTCAGGGGGGGGAGGGAGGGGGGCGTAATCCATATAATCCATACCTTTTCCGCAGTACGCGCTACGTCGACATCGGGGAAAACAATGGCAGGGTCATTGCCGCCGCTGGAAATCTCGCGTTAGTCTTGCGTGACGGATGATGGAGGATGATGGAGGAGGAACCCCTACAGCTCGAGGGTGACTCTTTTCAGGGTGTCACTCGCACTCCGCAGCACCCGCTTACCGGTTGCGGTGGAACCGGTGAAGCTGATCTTGTCAAGGCCTGGATGGCTGGTCATCCATGGACCCAGACTGTCGTCGCCGCTCAGAGACTGCACCACTCCCGGAGGGAAGAACGACTGGGCCAACTCCACAAGCTTGAGCCCCCCATACGGGGTGAAAGGCCTGTTGAGCAGAAAAAGCAGCGTCAGCAGCCAAGGTCGAGGTCGGTGATCCCCCCACCCAAAATCAGAACTCACGAGGGTTTCACTATGATCACGTTTCCCGTCAGGAGCGCGGGGGCGATCTTGCCTGTAGCAAGCATCATGGGGAAATTCCAGGGCACGATGGCGCCGACCACGCCCAGAGGCACATATCGAGTAATCACCGTGTGAGAATCATCGTCGTGGGCGACCTCCTCGGGAAGCTGCAGGTCGGCCATCCCCCGCATCCAAGAGATGGTATTGTCCATCTCTGCGGTCGCTTGTGGGATCTATCCAAGCGAAAGAAGGTAGCCATCGAGCAGCAGGGAGAAAGTGACTTGGGGGGGGGGGGGGGGACTTACCGGCTTTCCTTGCTCCAAAGTCAGCAGTTCTCGAAACCCAGTGTAGTTCTCTTCGATTGCATCGGCAAAGGCCAGCACGGCTCTCCGTCGCTGTTCGTAAGGAGTCGTCGACCAGCCTCTGAATGCGGCCTTGGCACACTGCACTGCGCGATCAAGATCGGCCTCGGTGGCCACTGGAACCTCCGGTAGTGCCTGACCATTAGCAGGGTTCAAGCCGTGCCGAGTTGTGGCTGTGGGAGCGCTTTGGCCATTGACAATTTGCACATAAGAGGACTTCAGATCAAGGCTGGTTGCCATGGTGGATACGGCCGCGAAACGGAATCAGTGGTTACGAGGATTGAACAGAGGAAGGGGTTCTGGTTTTTCTACTCCCCGTCAGCAAGACGGTGGCGGCAGATCTGCCTTCCAGAGAGGCCATTATTGTCTTTACCCCGCGCGCGGGTGTTCTCGTTACCCCGCATAACTTACTCGATGGTCACTACGCCTGGGGTCCGTGAGTCCAAGTCCGTAGTAAGTACTAAGCCATGACCTCAGATAAACAGTGCGTTTAGCTCGGATTGGGTATTTTATCCGCACATCCGTCTTCCCGTTCTGCATTCTTGGATCGGTGCCATTGACCCCGGTTACGAGGCCAGCACTGGGGAACCGCACCGATGGATTCTCATAACAGTACGCAGACTGAGGCTCTCCTCTCTCCTAAGTTGTTTAAGGTAAGGTATGAGAAATCGGTTCCGGGGGGGAATGAGAGCATTACGCACCTTGACTGTAAACCATGCCGACCATTTTATCATCTCCGAATCGCTGACACATGTCTCGCGTCAATTCGGCCCAATCGCCCACCTTAGTGGCGATGTTCGTCAGGGTGACTGATACACGCACACACACACACCAAATGAGCCTGTTGTGCCTTGCCTCAAGGATCGATTGGGGAACAGGACATATGCATACTGGTCTTCATCGAGTCACTGACAGCCTTCAGAAGCTGCGGTTGGCACTGGCCGAGGTTGGTTGCGCTCAGCATGCAGATGAAGTCAATGATCTCCTTTCCGTCGACATCCTGGAAGTGCGTCGATTTAGCATTGGCTTCCCAACTCCCCGGGCATCCACGGCAGCTTACCTTGAGTATCGATCCTTTGCTTGACTTGATGAGGACGGGAAGGGGAAACACTCCGCCCGCCGAGTGTTGAGCATCAATCTCAAGCAGCCGCGTTGTCTCGGGAGACAGTCGCACGGGTCGAATCTGGGAGACAGTCATGGCCACGAATCGTCGATCGGTCTAGACTGACTGATAGGATAAAGAGATAGAAAGGGAAAGGATTGATGCAAAAAAGACCTTGGGGCAGAGGACGGCGAAAAGAAGCAAGACAACAGACTCCTCATGCAATAGATATAAGTTATCAAGTTACCAGCTCCCGCGCTGCCTACACCTCGGGCTCTGGAAACCCTACCCCACGTTGGATGCATCGCCGCCCCCGATTGCAGACGACTCCTGCGGACCGGACCTGAGGGGAATGGTTCCGCTCCCTGGCACCTCGGTCAACGAGCACTGAGCAGGTAAAGGTAACGAAAGTTAGGTGAGGCGGTAGTACTACCGTAGTAGGACAGATAGTGCGGCGGCAGTGTAGCCGCATTCGGAGATGCGGGCCGCACCGTTCGGTAACCCTCCGGCCGTCACCTGGCACTTCCTGGTGTCACTGCGCGGTGGGTTTTCCCTGAATCAAAGAAATCAAATCATGATCACAATAAAACAACCTACATAGAAGATACACAGAGTATACAGTATATCTATGGAGACGGTGTTATTCGATCTGCAATTGAGCCAACCCCACCCCCTCTCCCTCCCCCTTTCCCCTTGCACAGTGAAATGTGACTGGTTCTGTGTCTTTAAATTGGTGTATTTGTACATGTGCACACACAAACACGTGTGCCTTTGCCACTCAAAGACCGAAAGAATGGGAAGGAATAACACAGACCTTGGAAGACCCTTCAATTTCCCCGCACTCGAAGGCACCCTCGGGGTCTCTTTCGCTCCCTCCCCCCATGCCTTTCCTCCCAGCCCATTCTCAGTCGCATCAGCAGCAAATCTATTCTTCTCAAAGAGCACAATCACTTTTTTTTACCTGCTACCGTTTCTGTATGTTGAATCGCATCATTACCGTCCTTCTGGGATGGATCCTCTCACGGATCTCCTGCAGCGCAGTCTTATAAAGCGTATTCGCCAGGCCTGCTCTAACTGCCGGTACGTGACCCCCACTTGTAGTGACCTGCACAAACTGGCACGGAGTTAACTTGACTCTCGGATCTTAATTCACAGACGACGGAAAACCAAGTGCACAGGGGAGCGGCCAGTCTGTTTTCAATGTCGTCGCAATAGACATACCTGTGTCTACGAGCCGTATTCCGGTACCTATAATAACCTGCATCCGCCAAGCGCTACCGCAGGCACGCCCACCTCCGAGAATGTATCGCTATCAGTTATATCCGTTGTTCTCTCTAGATGTGTGTCTTTGACAACATGCCAGGTTCAATTATCACAACGAATATCCCTACTCGAACAACGCCTAGCCGAGCTGAGCGAGCAGAGCATCTTGCAGCCCGGGTAAGGCGACTCCAACCAACCCCCTCCCCCCGTCACCCACCACGATCAGACAGGGCTAACTCATTGATAACGCTGCATCAAGGCCATTGGGAGACCACGCACAGTCGCAACAGCCAATCGACCTGTCGCAACCTCCTTCCACCACCGCCGCTGCTGCCGCCGCCGCTGGGGAGCGCCCCTATTGCATGCCGCCTCAATCCGTTCTAGATTCTACCGTCGATGCATACTTCATTCATGTTCATAATCAGCCATACAGTAATGTCCAAGAAGCGAGCTTTCGCCGCACACTGCAGGATCGATCCTTGCCTAACTGTCTGATTCTGGTTTTACTGGCCGCCGCTGTTCGTTTCTCTACACATGATTTCTACAGAAGCAGGCAGCGAGAGATGTCTGAGGTCTATATACGGGAAGCATGGCTTTCTGTGTTGATGAATCACTTGAACGAGGATAGTATAGATATATACACGGTACAGACAATCAATATACTCGCTGTGATTGACTTTACAGGTGCGATTCGTTCTCACTGTTAACGCGAGTCTATACCAACTAACCGCTGGGATCCGCAGCCGGAAGAATTAACTCAGGCTGGCTCAAAACCGGGCTAGCTGCTCGCATATCCCAAGACCTTGGTTTGATGGTAGAGCCCAAGGAATGGAGAGTGCCGGCTGAACAGGAGGAGCGCCGGCGAGTGTTCTAGTCGGTATACTTACTCGATAAATTGATCTCCTGTGGCCGAGCTCGTCCGCTCATCATTCTCGACCAGGACTGTCATATACAGCTTCCGTGCGACGAGAGAACCTTTCGCCAAGGAGAGACAAAGAAGACTTGTAATTTAGACTAGCTGCTTAGTTGGAATACCACATTGCAGGATACGCCTAGCTTCGTTGCTCTGGTGATTCTCCTCGCATTGATCCTCGGACGTTGCACACGCTATGTGTACGGCGTTCGGTACAGCGACGAGATACCACCCTGGGACACAAAATTGGAGTATGCGGCCGTATGCTCCCTCTTACTCTTATTCGAACACTATGCCGAGCTGAGTCCAGTAAAAGTGACGGACCTGGCTTCTGGACGAGACGGGATTATGGGAGATCACTATAATTATCAGGAGCTTGGTCATCTCGTTTTCGCACATACCCTCTTCCATCTCTGCCATTGCTTGTTGAACCAGCCTTTGATCCTATGCCAGTCCCTTCGACCCTTTAAAGCCAAAGTACCCGGCAGCTTTGCAGCCCAGGGGATGAAAGCGGGCATAGACCATGCCGTACGTCTCATACATCTACTGCAGGATGTGCTTAATGCAGGAGGACCCGTCCAATCCTCATTCTATGCATATTGTTTGGTAGTTGCGGGCGGAATCGTATCAATTGCATCTCACGAGACGACTCAGAGTCCCAAACCTCAGTCTTCTGAGATGCTGGAATGTTTTCAAAGTGGGCTGCACATGATTGATGGACTGGCCAGCCTGTGGCCGCACGCCAGTCATATGGTACGTCTATCACTTCGGAGCGAGGCCTTTTGGCTACACCAAAAGATACTGGACCCAGTCACTGATCATACTACGATGACACAGTCTCTTCGTTTACGGAATTTGCACGAGCAGCGGCACAATCTCGACAGCCTGCTAGATACGACGGGCAGGACGCAAGACATCGATCCGCTCTGCGGAGCGACCTTCTGGTCTATTCTGGACTATTCCATCGTGAGCAGCGACCCTAAAAAGACGTGGATGCCTCTGGCTCGAATCTGCCCAGCATGCCATCGCCAATGTCGTGGGCATTGGGATTTGATATGTTCGCCGCCGTCGCCTCCTCCCGGATTCAGACCCCACATGAAGACCTTTCCTCCGGGGCTTTCACCTGGCACGGATCGGACCAATCAAAATGACATGCGTCGGTGCCAGACACTAGGTAATGACAACTAGCATGTCAAAGCCTTGCAACCTGGTCCAGGCAGCTGACCCTTTCGACCGTCTTGTGGAGCTGAGATTCACAGATACCAGGCGTTCCTCGAGATCTATTGAAGCCTAGATAATAGTCAGTCCACGCACGTGAGTCTATCTCTCAGTGCTTGGCGTCAATTTCTTTATTACTCAAGTAGCCCCTTCTCTGGCTCAACAACATAGATCCAACGTAACCAGTGTACACTACGGGTATGCGTGGGCTGCAGTCATCCACGTGGTGCACACTGTCTCAAGCACTTTATCGGTTTTCTGCTTACCTATGCTGCCGCTTTTGAGCCCTCAGCAAGGGTGGTCAACGGAGATGGTGCATTGACCGATCCAATCGTGGTACCAGTAGTAGCCCCCTCGCGGGTGGAATGCGTCATTGATCGTCCGGTTACCGGAGGTAGAGGTTCACTGGTCAATTTGCCTTGAGCTGGCTGGTTGATGGCGGCGTTTATACGTTCGAGAATGAGGAAGCTATACCATGACGAGAAGGCTAAGTGAAACCAGGGTCATTCCCCATGGCGGCAGTCGGACTCGGAAATTGAGGGACAATTAATGTTGAGCTATGTTATTTAACCCCGCCCGATACGAGTCGAATGGAATTCAATGAGGGCAACAACCATAGTACTAAAGATAATTAAAATAATGAACTACTTGGTTTTTAGCTATCCTGCAGTTGGATACAAATACTTTTCTTAATCAAACCATAATCTGGCGGTTAGATATAAAAACTTCAATTAATCAGATCTGACCTGGCTGTTAGCCACTCCAGATAAAACAGATAAAATAAATTAATTAGTAAAGTAGATCAAACAGGTAGCTTAGGCTTGCACGGTGATAATTATATATGGTCTTTTAGTAAATTAACCAGTAAGAATTAGTAGATTAGTATATTTAGATAAAAAATCCCTTTTCCACTATAAATATGAAAGCAATACTTAAAACAAGTATCATTATGAAAACACCTAATTTGGGACTTCAGCACTGAGTTGGGCTTGTAACCTATTTCCAGAACACACTACGGAGACTTAAAAGACTAAAAGAGTACAAATTTATTGAATCAATAAAAAAAACCTATCAGAGAATACTGAGGTGTTTTCAAATTTCCTGCGTCATGCAAGACATGTCCGGTTGAACACGACGCGACGCTCGCTAAGTCGGGACCCCGGTGGTATCCAACTCCATATTCACCCAGTACGGCTGGTAGGATTTTGATCGAAGCCACGGACTGTAGATTTGGATTAAGCAAAAAACCGGCAGTGCGGCAACGCTCACGATCAGCGCCTGAGTCGCATAGGTCCACGTCCAACCCTGGGCCGCTTCCCATCCCATGGGTTCGTCAGCCTGCTAGCCCTACGCCTACTGCACTCTTTCGCAAGAAAAAAATCCATCTGACGCGTATTAAAGCTGCACGACCCGATGATGAGTCTCAGGGGAATGGCCGTCGCCGCCTGGCTAGGATTGCTGCCGCTAATGTTCTCCCTGGTGGTCCCTTACGAGCTGGTCTAGGAATCCTTGAAGGATGCTTCCTCGTCTTCGCTGTTCCTCCAGAACAGCGTATTTGGCAAGTCTCGCACAGCGAGGCCTCTGAACATTCAGGACGAATTTCACGCGCAGAATGATTTCAGCACGCCGTACAGTGGGATTGCAACCTTTGCGCACCTCAACTGGACCAACTGCTTTGATCCCGCCGCGGATGCAATATTTCTTTGCCTACAGGTATGGTATACATCCCCAATGAGGGATGACTCGGTGTAGATATGACTGCTAACGTTGCCAGAGTATGGATCATGGGACCAATCCCTTTCGCAGTTGGGCCTCTGTGGTAGACTGTGGTGATATTGCTAATACCCCATTCGACAAGCTTGAGGCGCTCCAGCAACTTGAGGCCAGTTGGAAGTTAATTGGATCCCGAAAGTCTTTGAACTCGCAGAAGGCAGACCATGTAAGATTCCTCTTATTCGGCGGAGATCATACCATCAGTAAGCTGCGTTTGACATAATCCCATCGAAAGTAAGATAATCTTTCTAACCCCGCGCGATCCAGTACTGCCCGCGCTTCGAGCCCTGTATCCCACCTGGGGTAAAGTGGCGATTCTCCACTTCGACTCCTATCTGGATATATGGGACCCTAAACAGTTGAGCGGGGGCCTGACTAAATACTCGGAGGTGACGCACGGTAGTATGCTTTATATCGCCCACGAAGAAGGACTACTGGTTGAGACGGGCAACATGCACCTCGGATCCCGATCGATGTTGATGGAAGAACACTATAACCTCGACAACGATGCTCGGTGTGGCTTTACAGCCATTCGAGCCCGGCAGATTGACCAAATCAGTATTGATGGGATTGTGAAACAGGTTTCGGACACGGCCGGTGACAGCCTGGTTTATATCAGCATCGACAATGATAGTCTCGACCCTGGTATGTGAAGACCCAGCGGATCCTGGTGTGATTATTATTAATCCAAGTGGTGATTCTTAGCATTTGCCCCAGCCACCGGCACAATTGAACCCGGTGGCTGGACCACCCGGGAACTTCTTGAGATTCTGAATAGGCTGTCCACGGCCAACCTCCCTATTATCGGAGCAGATATTGTCGAGTTCCCCCCTGTGTATAACAACGCAGCAGAAACCACTGCTCTTACTATCACACAGATTGCCTATGAGCTTCTGCAGTGGATGGTGCGAGTGCCGGTAAGAGTCGCAGAAAAGACCGAATTATGAGGAGATGTTCGACTGGAAGAAATGCAGAAAGCGAGATAAACGTGGATGGGTGTCCTGTAGTGTATATTAAAAGCATCGTTGATCGGATCTCCTGCGTGACTGTGTGTCTTGAGAGTCATCGTTATATCAGTCAGTGGTGTTGCGTATTTTCAAAACATTGTATAGCCTTTAAGCGGTCTTTTCAACCCGATTATCAGACCAGGCTCTGAAGAGATGGCTTTACCGGTCCATCATCGTATCTTAGAACTGCACCGTACTTGTCCATGAAACTCGGATCTTGTTAGAAAGTCTTTGGCCCTATTTTCTATCATGCTCTATTTGCTCAGCTACATGATAGACTTTTATGGCTCAAGTTGAACGACAAAAATAAAATACTACCGGGGTCCTTTCCATTTCATAGCTGCGGGTCATAACCATACGTCAAATTATAACACCCAAACGGATTCCACCATACTCGTTCAAAGCACTTTGCCCCTGAAGAACGGTTCAAGTCTTCGCCTGGGTGCTGGCTTGCTGAGTGCATAGGTCCCAGTCTACCTTCCGACGCGCCTGGCACTCACTCACCCCGTAAGCTTGATCGAGGTAGGCACCTTCAGGGGGTCCAACCTCAACCATCCTCACTGCGGGTTACAGGGTGCCCGGCATTTTCCCACCGATAGGCTAAGGATAAACACCCAATGGTTGTTCATAGGGACAGCAAATCTCACCGCAATGCAGCTTATCTTCACCATCCTTTGTGGTCGACCGGACCGCTTTCCGTTGAGTTCCCCGGGTTCCGACTGCGCGGACCGAGGCGAATCCCTGCATCAAACGCTTGTATTGGAAGTGTTCATGACGGATTACAGCTAAGCTGCTTGGCTATCGGGTAGTTGCGTTCCCAAGTGGATCTGGGAGACATGTCTTCTACGTGGCCAGGGGAGGTAGCAGTGGGCATAAGTTCAGATGGTGACTGGCAAACGACAAGAAAGACATGGCGGTCCGTGATTCATTCTCTACAGTTTTGCCCGCACAGCAGACCCCTCAACCAGCCTATTTCCAATCTCGCGCAGTAAGTGCTTCTTGTGCTTCCCACTGCCTGTTTGGGGAAAATCCTCCCAACGCCTTCGTCGCCCAGCCAGAAAATGTGAGTGGGTGCCTTGTGACGTCCCACGACCTGGCCTACAAACTGCCGGATTCCATCGTCTCCAGCTGGCGTCTTCCCAGCAGCCTTTAGGAAGCAGCCCACGACTTCCCCATACCGCTGAGTCTTGATGCCGACCACACTGGCCTCACTGATGGTGGGATGAGTCAACAGTCGCTCCTCAATCTCCATAGAAGATATGTTCTCCCCTTTTGCAGAGTATTAGTATTTCAGTGCGGGTTGGAATGGGAATTGCAGGGAGTGGAAAATCGACTAGAGACGTTCGAACAAGGAGCCTGGGTCCTGGGTCTGGAGTATGTGCATCAACCTTATAAGTCTACCACACGGTACTGCTGGCTTCGGGCTGGCTCGTGCTTGCCTGTCAATCTTACCCCGGATCGGATCAAGGCTACAGCTTTCCGTGCCGGACGAGCGCCGGATGTCGGTCCGACGCTATCACAGCACAAGTAAGACCGAATGCCACTACATCCCAGAAACTCCTTGCTTTTTCCAACTATCTCCCCTCACTCTTCAAAATCGCGGTGTTTGTCGCAGCTTCGCTTCCTGCCACAATCGTTCTGCAGCAGGATGCGGATTGCTATGCTACCAGGGCTATGCTGATTGACGATGGTATCATTGACGACAAAGCAAAACTTTAGATCAACAGATTATGAAAGATGGAGTTGACGATGAAGGTTGCGGTGGATGGCACTTTTGAGACCCGGTGGAAGATATGAGATGCAGTCGAGCAAGGCGAGGAGGTGCTATGCCAAGTGGCCCAATTCGTCAGATCCCGAGAGTACCTAAGTAGTAGGCTGAAGAACACATTTGGGCGTTTGCGTTTCTTTTCATGCAACACAATTAATTACTCGGCTGCTTTGCATATGACTACCTTACCTCAGATAACCTGACCACCAAGAATCCAACGAACATGTTCCTCATAATATCGCCTACATATATGACTAGGGCTAGTAAGCTTAGACAAGCTTCTTGAATATCAGCTGTTTTGTCCAGCATTTATTATCAAAGCAATGTGGTGATTGCTTCGAAATTGCTTAAAACACATACTTTTGTGCTTCTTCTATGCTCTAGGCTGCTTAGCGGGCAAAAGGTGGCGCCAGGTTTGACCACAAAGTGGAAAGCGAAAGTTGCTTGATTTCTGCAGCAATTTCGGTGCGTTAGTAAGTTCACTAATGCAGCATCCGCGCTAAGAAGGCTGAACTCCACCAAACCTTTAAACTCCCATTTCTCCCTCGCAGGCTTAGGCTGCCACCATTAATTATCCTTGTTCTTATCTCCGCTGCCCAGTCTACTCTGCTTCATATGAGTGAGACCAGTAGTACCTCCGGCCAGGGCCAAACCACTCTCGTGCCACGACGAAGAGCTGGAGGTAAGAGATCAGTCACAGGCTGTCGCACTTGTCGGTGATTATACCTCCCACACGCAGTATGCAACTCATCTTCTCATATACCACCGATAGAGTCCGTCACAAGAAATGCGACGAAGCACCCGGGGCGTGTAACAACTGCACATCTACCGGTCGGCGTTGCGATGGGTATGACCAGCATCGTTTACCCCGTGCAAGCAAGACCAATACGCCACCTCAAGCCAAATTCCAGATTGTGCCAAGCCTGGTGGGAGGAGTGCATCGGACGATGAACCGAGAGGAACGACGATGCTTCTCGTTCTTCCACCTTCGCACCATGCCCGCCATGGTGGGCTTCTTCGACTCTGCCCTGTGGCAGCAATTAATCCTCCAGATGGGTCACGAGGAACCCGCGGTCTATCACGCTATTGTTGCTCTGAGTGCGTTCCATCAAGACTCGGAAAGGCAAGGGATGCCGTTATCCAAGGAGGACCTGGGGAACACTTGGCATCGGTTTGCCTTGGAGCAGTCAATGCGCTCGTTCTCGCTTCTCCATACTCGCCGCGCATCTCACGATCCTCGGCTGCGGGAAGTCACCTTGCTATGCTGCCTGGTCTTTGTGCTCTTGGAATGGCTGCGGGGCCAGTATGACAAGGCTTTCGGGCATCTTCGGAGTGGAATCCAAATGCTCAAAGAGTTTGGCGTGAAGATGACAGATGAGTCGCGTGTGCGTGGGGCCCCGGTAGAGCGAGACCTAGTCGCTGCTTTCGCCCACTTGGACATTCAGTCTGCGCAGTTTGGGGAGACAAGTTCACTCGTGGGAGGAAATCCTATTCTGGAGATCACAACGTCGCAGGCAGACGGGACACCCACTTTCCGGAACATGTCTGATGCGCGGGAAGCACTCGACCACATTCTTGAACCGGTTTTCAAGTTTACAAACTCCACAGAGGCCCTGTCGCATGAACAGCTTGCTATGCAGTACGAGTCTCTCTATCAGGAGCAGAGCAGACGCTGCGCAGAAGTGAGCGAGTTCGCCCGAACCTTCGACCACTTCCGTGCTACAAGATATTACAAGCTGAGCGCGAAAGAACAACGCGGTGCAGACGTCATTCACCTCCATCAGACCGCGGCGTCTTTGCATCTGGAGATCTGTCTTCTGGAAAGCAACGATCCCCTGCTGGACACTTATACTCCTAGATTCGAGCGCCTTCTGGCTTGCGTTGGGGAAGTGACGGACAAGTTCCCTGAACGACCTAGTGTCTGCATGGACATGGGCATCATTCCGCCGCTCTTCCTCGTAGCCACCGGATGTCGGGATTATAGAGTCCGCGAACGGGCGATCGAGGCGCTACGGGCCTGGCCGCACCGTGAAGGACCATGGGACTCGAATCTAGGGGCTCGTATCGCCACCGAGATAATGAAAATTGAGTCTGTGGCCGGTTCGGCGCCGCCGAGCGGGGATACGGAAGGATTCACCAGCGAACCAGCAAATAACACTCCGGCGCCGCGTGGGGTATCTGTGACTATATCCGAAGATCAAATTCATGCGTGCTTGTCATATCATATGGGCAACCAGCGGAATGAACGGTGGTTCAAGCTTGACGGCAAGTGAGACGTCATGTGTGGTGCTTCTTAACTATTAACTATTATGTACTGTACGCTGTAACTAGATAAATTGATCCATCCTTGACCGCCCTCTCACCGCCCAGCAGGCAAAAAGATTTCGGCCTGACCAACAAGGCGGTGGCAGAATCCCCGATAAGACCCCACTGATAAGCTATCGGTCCTCCGGATCAACAGAAGTTCCGCCGCTCACATGGAATTTTTTGGAAATCCTCCTGGCGATGGCAGGACAACACCCCAGACCTTCGTGAGCCGCAACCCATCCCACAACCGTCTGCCGTCCCTCTATTGTTTCTAACCATCTCGTCTTACCCAGCAAACACCGATCAGACTCACAAAATGGGCAAAGTCGCCAAAGAAGCCTCACCGGAGGCGGATGCGACCCCGATCGCCGATTCCGAACTCGAGTCGACCACGAAGCTTGCAGAAACTTTCCAAGAACTGGGAGTCATTGACTCCCTGTGCGAGGCCTGCGACTCGTTAGGCTTCAAGAAGCCCACTCCCATTCAGGCCCGTTGTATCCCGATCGCTTTAGAAGGACGAGATTTGATCGGTCTCGCTGAGACAGGTAGTGGTAAAACGGCCGCATTTGTGCTCCCGATCCTGCAAGCGCTGATGGACCAACCCCAAACACTACACTCCCTCATCGTCGCGCCAACTCGAGAACTGGCGCAGCAGATTGCCCAAACCGTCGAAGCCCTGGGGTCGCTGATCTCCGTGCGATGTACACTATTGATCGGTGGTATGGACATGGTGTCGCAGGCGATGGCCCTGGGCAAGAAACCGCATGTCATCGTGGCGACGCCGGGACGTCTGTTGGATCACCTGGAAAACACCAAGGGCTTCTCGCTCAAAAACCTGAAATACCTGGTGCTGGATGAGGCCGATCGACTTCTGGATCTGGACTTCGGTCCCATCCTGGACAAGCTTCTCCGCCTCTTGCCGCGCCGAAAAACCTACCTGTTCTCCGCAACCATGTCCAACAAGGTCGAATCCCTCCAACGGGCGTCCCTGTCCGACCCCGTCCGCGTTTCCGTCTCCGCCAAGAACCAGACCGCCACGAATCTCTCCCAGTCGTACATGTTCATCCCACACAAGTTCAAGGACGTCTACCTGGTCCACCTGCTGAACGAGCGCGCGGGACAACTGGGCATTATCTTCACACGCACCGTGCACGAAACCCAGCGCCTGGCTTTCCTGTTGCGCAACCTCGGCTTCGGGGCCATCCCTATCCACGGTCAACTCTCTCAGAGCGCTCGTTTGGCGTCGTTGAGCAAGTTCCGCGCCCGGTCGCGCAATCTCCTGCTGGCCACGGATGTTGCGGCCCGTGGTCTGGATATCCCCGCTGTCGACTTTGTCCTCAACTACGACCTGCCTCAGGACAGCAAGACCTACATCCACCGTGTGGGTCGAACCGCTCGTGCAGGCAAGAGCGGTATTGCCATTTCGTTTGTCACCCAGTATGAAGTGGAAGTATGGCTGCGGATCGAGGGCGTCTTGAACAAGAAGCTGGACGAATACAAGCCGGAGAAGGACGAGGTCATGGTATTCAGCGACCGAGTGAACGAGGCACAGCGACAAGCGGCCATGGCCATGCGGGACTTGCAGGATAAAGATACCAAGGGTCGGGGCGGACGGGGGAAGAAGAGGAACAGGGATGATATGGACCGAGAGGAGGCTTAGGGGGATGATTTCATCCTCGTGGACTAGATGAGAATATGTGCATAATTAAAAGGTTGTATCTCTACAGCTTGGCCTAGAGCGAAAAAGTTTCCAAAATTCGAGATGAACTATACGACCCACTTCGTTCCGACCGTCCCCGCAATGATCAACTCAGCACCACCACTACCATCACGATGATTTCCACTACCACCAGCTCCTCTAGGACGATGGGCTTGCTCGGGGTTTCTGTTATTATATGCTTGTTACTCGAAGCGTTTCTTTCAGAAAAGCTTATAATCTAGGTGTTGTTTATATCACTCGTCTTCACAGCACGTTCGTCACTGGAATAATGGTACAGTCTCAGTTCATCAGTTTATATATTCGTTATCGTTACGTCTATCATTACCAAGTAGTTTCAAACCACTCTAGCCTTCGATCTTCTTTCTTCCCCCAATCAATGCTGGAAGATCTTCCACTTTAGCAGTGCCTTCAAGGATATCTGGGACATGTCAGCATTAACCCCCTCTGAGCCCCAGGGGAAGGAACATACCGTGAACTGCGACAAACAAGGGGAATTCCTTGAGCTTGCCCTGCTTCTCGAGGAACTCATAGATATCGTACGCGGTGGACGTGCCCTGCAGCTTCTGTCCATTGAGCTCCTTCTCCTCGATCTCCTTGACACTGACCCCCTGCTCCACCGCGTGGCAGGCCGATCGGTAGTTCCGACCGGCGTTGCAGGAGGAGACCAGATCGGCCATGCCGGCGCTCTCCTCGGTGAAGGTGCGCTCCTCGACGGACTTGGGGAACCAGGTGCGGCCGAACTTGACCATCTCGAGGACGCCGACGCGCATGATGGCGGCCTTGGCATTCTCGCCCCAGCCCTTACCGGCGACGAAGCCCGACGCGAGGGCGATGATGTTCTTCAGCGCGCCGCCGAGCGCCACGCCGGCGACGTCGCGCACGTGGTGCACGTGGAAGTAGGGCCGCGCGAACAGCGTCTCGAGCAGCTCGGCGCCGACGTGCGGCAGCTCCGGCGGCACGGGGGTGAGCCGGACGTGCGTCGGCTTCGCCTTGCACTGCCGCTGCTCGTCGATCTTGATCAGGTTGGCCTCCGCCGAGTCATCCTGCTGCTTCAGGTCCATCGGCGGCACGTCGTAGCCGATCGTCGTCTCGCAGAACTTCTCCGCCGCGACCTCGGGCGCGATGTTGGCCCCCGACAGCGCCCCGCAGTAGATCCCCAGCCGCTCCATGATCAGCTCCGAGTGCAGCGTCACCGTCCCGTCGGAGACATCCACCCCCTTGATGCAGGAGATGGCGCGCGCGTACGGCAGGATGTTGCCCGCGATCCCGTCCAGCGTCTTGCCGATGAACTGGTGCGGCAGGTTGAAGACGAGCAGTGTGGCATCCTTGACGGTGGATTTGAGGTCGGGATCCGCCACCACATTGTCCGGCAGGGCGATGTCTGGCAAGTATTTCACGTTCTCGTGGACTTGGTTGATCACCTCGGTGAGTTTGCGCTTCTGGCCGCCTAGCTTGCTGTGGTGCTTGGAGGACTCCGGGATTTCGATGTCTTCATCAAAGACCCACATGCGCACCTCCTTGTCGAAGATGTCGGGGTGCTCGTTGGTGTTTTCAGCGATAATCTTGGCGATGGTCGAGCCCCTGGTTGGAGAGGTGTGCGTCAGTGATGTTAAGAGGATGCGGAGGCGGGCGTTCGTACCAGTTTCCTGAGCCGACCACGGCGACTTTGTGCTTTCTGGTGTGACCTGTCATCTTGATTGCGTGCGTAGAGAAGATAGATGCTGAATTGGAGAGTACAGGTACAGAAAAAGAGAGTCCATGACCGAAAGGTTTATAGATCTGGCTGGGAGCGACGGTCGCGGCAGATTCCAGGGCGGTGACGTTGATGGGAGAAGGACGTCATCGTGACTTCTCGCTTTTCCCCCACTCCTTCGTTATTCTCAACCTGCTTGACTGCCTTGATTTCCTTGACTGGCACCTGTCACTTTGAACCAACAGACTTGTCGGTTACTGTCGGAAGCTTGTCTGTTCAGTGCAAGCGCAGTGCGTACTCCCTACTGCATAGTTACCACCTCGATCTGACCGGAGACCTTGTCGATCGCTCCGGTGGCCGTCCACGGATGCTACTCCAGAAGAAGTGGCTCACGCTTGGCTACCGCCACCCACCACCCACCACCACCACAACCACAACCACAACCACACCACCGGCCGCGTTATCCCTGCTTGTGCTGCATTGGTGCGTTCCCTGTGTGACTTTTATGGGATGATCTTCACAATGACTGACGAATAGATAAAACAAAGTGACAGTGGCAATGATTCCCATTCTTTCTCAAGATAATGCCCGGTGTCTAAGCCCGTGGGGATTAAGCAAGACGACGACCACCCAGCAGTGCCGTGCCAGAGTCGACCCACTCCAAACGAGCTTTTTCCGCGCAAGCTTCAGAACGGAAAAAATCACTGGTCAGTCAGCCACGTGAGCCGCCGAAGATCCGCCGCGTGTGCCCTTCGGTGTAAACTCCACCCCGCCGCAATTAGTCAATTCCCCCGAGAGAAAGAAGCCAGAGTCAAACACCAGAGCAGAAACCGTTCCAGCCAGACTCTTTTATCTGGCTCAGGCACGGTCCGTTGACTAAGTTTAATCTCGCTCGGCGAATCAGCGCCCTTGCAGCGTCCAAGCTAGGAATCATTCGGCGGATCGCGAATAAGATTCCACAGATAACGCCATCTTTCATCCACCAGTCTGGCCCTGTGCCAAAGCCCTTGCATCCACCTAACCTTACCATGCATCCAGTCGCATCCCGTGGCTTCGGAATTCGCCCGAACAACATGCACGTTTGTGACCATTTCTGGCATTAGGCCTGTCGTGTCGGCGAGCACGCCATTTTGCCCAGAAACTAATGACAAACTGCCTGTTCTCCTCTATAAGGCCGCGCGCGCTCACCAGGCTGTCAAGATGTTTCTCATTGCCAATAGTAAAGAATCACACCCTTCTGGGTTGGACAGTGCAAGATGGGTCTGCCCACCATCTTTCGTCGGAAACACGACTCTGACGGGTCGGAGGACGCTACCTCAGGAGCCCGGTCCACCAGCTACAGCGAGAACCCAACGCTCACACCCACATCCGAGACGCCTTCGATCACCAACGTCCCAGTGGACAATCTGAAGCGGGATCCGGAGCGCGACCCGAAACCTGGAGAGCCGACCGTGGCCGAGGCGGAGGTTGAGGACGATCCTGAGATTACCGCTCTGCCACTGGAGGTCCGCCAACTAGTCAGTCTCACCGACGATCCGACGCTGCCAACGATTACC